ATTCTTCTTCAATCCGCTCATAATACTCTCCTAGGAAGGTGAAGAAATCGGGTCTTCTTCTAATACGGTTACTTCTTATGGCAAGGTTGTTCGGTATCTTGGGTCATACTCATGTCAGTCATAGAAGTCTGCTTGCTTCCAAGTGGCATGGCCCTTTTGTATGGGTTATGGAACCTGTATCCCTTACCATGATGAGGTTATTTTATGAAGACAATCGTAATAGTTTTTCATCCAACTTTGTCCGATTTTGATGCGATATCAGGACATCGGTTTAGCATCCCTACAATTTCAGGTGGTCAACAGACGAAGCACGGCCAATGAAAATCTCATGAGTCAGTGGGGCAGCTGTCGTGTGATTCCAATTAAGAATATAATTGGTCGTTAAAACTTCCTTCCCCAGAACTCTAGGGGAGCTTAGCATGTCCCATCATACTCCTTACCATATCCAACAGGATCTTGTTCTATCTCTCGGATGCCCCATTATGTTGAGTGTATGACGTAATATATTGATGTATGATATCATGCTCAGTACAAAGCTCCTTAAATATATGTGAGGAATACTCACTGCCCCAAGCAGCTTTTTCACTCATCAAATAAACATGGCCAAAATGGAAGTGGTCATCTATAAAAGCGATGAAGTACCTCTTGCGGCCTTCAGTGGCCACATTCATAGGTCCAAAAATATTACCATGGACAACATCTAAACTATCAGTAGCTCTCTGAGCTTTCGTAATGGATTTCATAGCTTGCTTTCCTTGAATATATGATTCACATACTTTAGTTAAGTCCCCTTTTAGGTCTTCTAGTTATCATTTGCTCTTTAATCTCTCCGTTCTCTTATAATTTATGTGCCCCAATCTCATGTTCCAGATATATATTTGTTATCAACATCATCTTAAGATGAGACATAACAAATAATATTATTTATTTCAACCATAGTTACCGGGATCGCCAATGTACAGGTTCGCTTCTGGCTTGGAATCTCGATCCCGCCCCCCGAGTGACCGGATCTCGATTTCAGAGGCTGTGTATTTGTATCTCGTACCCGGAGTTATGAGAACTCGTTATTTGGGAACAATTTTGCTAGAAAGTGTGATCCATATCCCCATCCCCAAGATCATGGCTTCAATATCATTCGGAAGCACTATTCCATTACACCAGGAACCGAGTCTTATACCATGGGAGCCAGCTACACCTACAGATTTTATTTTATTCATATACAGTATTCGGTTTTCCTCAAATTTTCTACAACGCACACATTTTGCAACGACACTTGTGTCCAAAGAAAGGCAACTAGAGTAGGGACAAGATTGGAAGGAGGTTCAAAAGTTAGCCGCATTGCAAATTTATTGTGAAGCGAGGTCAATCTTGCCCAACATTGAGTGCTAGTTTAGAGAAGGGTATTGTATAATTAAGGTGTAGTGGTGCACTGTATACCATGATAATGTTGTTTACTTAATTTGGTGTGATATCATGCTCCAATGCATCACAATAGGGTTTTTCACAGAATTTGGTATGAAATGATGATCCCATCTTGTGGGTTGCCATTTTTTATTTCTTGATGTAATATTTTATTTTATCAATACAAAGTTAACCACTTCAAAAAAAAAAAAAAAAAATCATGCTTCAATAAACCCCAATACTGTTGTTTGCTGAATTCGGTATGAAATCATGCTCCAATGACTTAAAAAATTCAAAGGAAATCTCAATGCCATGATTTTTTATGACATTGATACCTTGGAACTGTGGATTTGGAAAGAGTTAAACATGCTATCTATTGGAACTCTCTCCTGGTTTACAATATACAGAAATAGTGAACTCTAGAGACCCCGATCATAAGAACGATACAACGCGATCCCTTTTGGTATGGAACCTGCTCCCATCCTTATAGCAATGCGCTCCCTAGAACTCATGGAACTCGCTGCTGTACGAAGCTTGCTTCGCCACCCTGGGAACTTCGAGCTAGACTCGCTTCGCGTTCCCAGAACTTCTCACGTTCCTTTTCTCGTTCCCAATAACTATGATTTCAATTGTAAAGAAGCCTTCTACAAGAAGACCATTCCTAACTAATTCCTTACCAATTTAACTTCTACTTTATTGCTAGTAAAAATAGTGTGAATATCTTGCCTTAGCTAACCTAGAGACTGAAACCAAACTCTTTCTCGTGTCTGGAGCATAAAGAGTTTGCTTTAGGACCATGTTCTTTCTATTTTCAAATTGAAGGACATAATTATCTATACCAAGTATTTATGTCTTTTGGTTTCTACCCATAAAGATATATTGGTCTCCTAGGGCTGCAAGCTTAAAATTTTTGAAACTGTCCTTGTTGTTAGACTCGTGGGCAGTGGACCCCGAGTCGTAACCCCAGGATCCCTCGTTAGTATCAGCTAGCATGGTCTTAACAACCACGTAAGTATGCTCCCTTTCACCCTTAGAATTCACATTCTTTGGCAAGGTTTCAAAAAATGCTAGGTGGCCCCTAGGCGGCATGCTTGGCACCCAGCGCCTAGGCGGGCGCCCAGAACCTCGGGCACCCTGTGGTGCAAATTCTTAGATTTTTTTTATATATTTGCTATCCAAATGCACATATGCATATATATTTGTGTCAAATTTTGTAATTTATTCCATTTGAAAATATCACAAGTTGCATGTATAACTCTGATATTGCCTAGAGTTATCCCCTTGGAACTTGGCATACCCCGCACCAGAGCACCTGACTGATGGTGCACTTGATCCTTAGATCCTGTTGAATGCACCAATCTGAATTGGGAGGCACCTTTGGAACACCCTTATCCGAAATCTATGGGCCTGTCAATAAGGGTTTTTTAGACCCTTGTCACCTTGGGGCAATGCCAATGAGGAATCCCCTAGCCTAGTCTAAGGGTGGGGGTGCCGCCTTCTCTCTTATTGTTTTTTGAGTACGTACCGAGTAGCGTGCCACCTATAGAGAGAGAAATGGAGTGGACAGAGAGGAGAAAGAGAGGGCTAAAGTGTGTAGAGAATGAGAGGTGTTATCCTCCTTATATAGGTCTCAAGGGCCCTAGTTGTTCCGATTGGATTAGGATTTAACATTATCTATAAAATATTGAAGTAATTTTTTGGGTATGGGGGAATAATCTGGGCCATCTATCTTTGAAATTAGCCATCATGATTTAGGGAGAATTTTAGGAACCTTTTCTCCTGAATCTTTTGACCCATATCCACTTTTAGACAAGATAGACTTCTATTTTAATTTGGATTCTGATCAAATAGGAGTCCTCATCCAAGTAGGAATCCTAATCCAAATAGGACTCCTAATACAATTAGGACTCTTTAAGCAAATAATATTTTATTACAAGTTGTGATGAAACTAGGAGTCCTAGTCCATGTAGAAATCTGAATCCAGGTACGACTCCTTATACAATTAGGATTTCTTAACCAAATAATATTTTAATACGAGTTCTGATCAAATTAGGAGTCCTAGTTCAAGTAAGAATCATAATCCAAATAGGGCTCCTCAAATAATAAAATTATATTTTGAATTCAGTTAGGGGTGTCGCTCTTTGTGTGTGGGATGTGTGGCCCTTCTAGGCCCCACTTCCCACCTTATGTGGCCTACCCACATGTAGGAGTTGGGCCCTTGGCTTCCCCACATGGATTCCACATAAAACTCAGGCCCCTACCAAATTGCAAAATATCAAGTTTGCCCTTTCTAGGTTTTTCATGATTTTTTTAATAAAAAAACGACAATCATAAATAAAGATCAAAAACAATATTTTTGAGGTTGTTAAAAAAAATTAAAATGCACACAAAAATACCTCTAGAAGTGGATTTGTACCAATAGGTAAAAAAATAAGTCACTGTCAGGGCACTCCACCCATGCCAGGATCCATGATCCACAACTCTCTTCTCAAACCAACCTAACAGGACCCATGACCCATAGTCATGTGTAGGGGCTCATGATTGGTCCGTCAAAGTTAGTCAATAAACAGTAGTACCATGATTTAAACATGTGGATTATAGGTTTCTCCCAAGGGCAAATAAAATGAACGTATCAATATAGTGCAAGGGGGGACTCTCTCTATGCACTTGTATATGTCCCTATATAGGATTGCTTGTATATGATGTGTGGAAGTCTGTTGAGGATTTATAGCTTTCGTTCTTACAAGCCTACAACTGCAGATTGGAGACCACAAAGTTCTCCTTACATGCAAACTATTCTTAGGCATGTCTCAGACCTCAACAAAGGATGACCCTTCATAACCCTTAGAGGTAGTTCCTATTCCCAAAGGAAAGGATTTTGGACATGACTCGGGCACACAGCCGCCTAACCTTGAATCAGTCAACCAGTCATACACTCCCACTGAAGTGTACAATTCACTATATGTACTATACTTACATGCTCTCATGTGTTTTGAAGGTCACAAACCCCGACACTATATGCCATCCTTGACAGTGGGGGTCTTGGTTTTAATGAAGGGTCTAAGATTCTTATATTCTCCATAGGTCAATGTTCTGTTCTAGGTTTGTGTCAGAAAATGCTGCTTGATTGGTCAAAGTGGAGTGCTGTTACAATGATTCCTTTTAGGTGGGCGAGAAGGGTCAATTGAGTAGTGATGACTTCTTTGTAGCAGATGGTTGAAGACTCTGGTTAGTGCTGATGTTGTCTTATTGGAATGTTTGAAAAAGTGAATAAGAAGGCTGGAAGTTTATTAAGATTGTGGTTTCTATTGTAGATTGTGGCCAAGGTTTGCTTTCTTCAATAATGGTTAGACAACTTCTGAATGCTTTTGCATCGGGAATGAGCATCTGGAAAGTGCTTGCGTGCTTTGTCGAGAATCTGTTTATTTAAGCTAACGAGTCATTTGTTTAAACATAATATTATCTGGTTATATTCAATGATGATTATATTCCATGATTTCCCTGAAATAGCCCTATGCTTTTGAACTGTAGCTTGTTATCAGAGACATCACAAATTGACTTATGATACTTAATTTCCTTCTTCCCTCCTATGTCCCCAGGTTATTTTTGAAGGTGTCTATGCTTTGCATCCTGACATCCGCAAATCTCTTGATTTCTGGATTGCTGTTGTAAGTCCATATTTTTGTTAAACTTTTCTTGAATCACTTTTTCTCCTTTCAGGAGAGGAAGTTGATGACTGGCCTAGTTTATGTGTCCATTAACAGGTTGGGGGTGTGCATTCACATCTTATTTCCAGAGTTCATAGGGACAAGAGCAGGGTTGGAAGTCCTATATCACAAAATGAGATTATGACGACTGTCTTCCCAATGTTTCAGCAGCATATTGAACCCCATCTTGTTCATGCTCATGTTAGTTCTCAAAATGACAAAATTCTTTTAAGCATTTTTTTTGGTGGTGCACGCCTTTAATCAAACTGTATGTTGCACTCGATAAGCACTTGCCTTTTATATTGTGGTCTAAAGAGCAATTTATGTCCATTTAGCTGTAGTATTTTACAGTTTCTCGCGTGGCGTATCTGGTAACTATGATTTTGGTTGTTCATTCACACATCTACCTCTCCTATGCAGCTTAAAATTCGAAATGATTTTGATCCAGTGTATTCCTCTGAAAGTTCATTGTTTGTCTTGAAGAGTAATAAGCAGGTATCTACATCTTAATGGAGTGGGTGTGCGTTCTACAGTTGATGGTTACTGAATCATTAATTAATACTTATGCTGCCCTTTGCTCTATATCAGGTGTCATATCAAGAATTAATGAATGTTCTTGATCCAGAGAAGATAACCAGTTCTGTTCAACATTTTACTGATATTTACTTGAGGCTTCCTAGGCTGCCTTCAAATGGCCTGCTAGCAGAAAACGAGTGCATAAGAGTCAGAATGTGTGAAGGCAGATTTGCATTGTTGATACGAGAGGTCAGTAGCTGTTCTTTTTCTCAAGGTGGCTGTTTCACATGATCTTGAACTGATCTTCTTTGTTCTAAACTTATTCATCTTAGCCAATCAGGGAAGGGAACTTTCTTATGCAACCTAAAGTTGATTTTGATATTAGTGTTAGCACGGTGGCTGGTCTCCTAAACCTTGGGTACGTTGTACATTCATTGCTAAGAACTATTCCTTTTTATATCCTATGTTATCCTTTTGCTATTCTATTAATCCGTTGATATTACCAGTTTGATGTTTTAAAATCTGATCTTAATCCATTGATAGTACTGGTTCGATGCTTTAAAATCTGATTTAAGGTTCCCAAAGTCATCCATTAAGGTCCTGTTTGGGCATTCTAAATTTTTGGAACAGGCCCGTTTTCTTCTATATCTATTAGAAGTAAAAACAGGGCCTGCTTGATCTGTTCATCAAATCATGGTAACAGATTTTTGTAACCCTTGTTGCTAAAAAAAAAATGTTGGATTTATGTTGACGCTGTGTCTCTTTATGAGATTTTAACTCTAGTAGTAGTGTGGATCCAAGTATGATCTTTGTGACTCGCTAGTTCTTTGCGTACTGGAAACCCCAGGAATGGTGTCGCATACATATGGTTCAGATTGTTGCCATGAGGATAGAGTGTAATCCCTCAGTTGAGGTCAGCATGTGTGGTCCTATGATTGTGATATAGCTGGGGCATTTGTGGACTTCCTTTGGTACTTCTGTGAACTATCTATGGGCTATATGTGGACTTCCTATGGATTTTCTGTGGACTTAATGTAGCCCTTTGCGGGACTTTTCTTGATTGGACAAGGGCCAAAATCCTCAACAATTGCCAACCACACAATAGGTACATATGATAGGCACATTTTGGCAGCCGCCCTTTCTGGGTGATCAATTGGATAGGGAACGTGCATATGTGCTTGAGAAAGGACCCCTGCATCTATGATACCTGTATACTTATCCTTTGGGGTGCATTTGCAATCCACTTATCCTAGAATCTAATCATCTATTGATTGACTTTGATGGACCAAGCATGAGCCCCGGCTTAAGATTGTAGGTTATGGGTTATGTTGGGCCAATCTAAACAAATGGTTTAGAAGTCTTGGGCTAAGCTGAGTGGAGGCCCAATATATTCAAGTTTCAGTTCCTAAAGGTACCTAGTTTCTCTCTGATATTTTTTTGAAAGTCCAAGCCAATTCAAAATGATAAAACAAACTTAAAAATGATTTTTGGTAATTTTTTGATTTGTGGAATTTTACTGAAGCTCGGAATGAGCTAGGAAATTTGTTTGAAAATGACATATCAAGAGATTCAGGGCACATGTGACCTAATGATCATGTGAGGCCTAAATGGCCAATGGGCCCCACATGACCTCTAAAAGGCAACATGCAGGTTGAACGCTAGCTTTACATGTGGCTGACATCATCATGACATCAACACTAGGGGGTGTATACTTAAGGGCCAATTTGGACGCCCACTTACTTGAGATAAGTGGGGTTATTTTTAAGTGTTCGAATTTTGTCGCATGGTGGATCTTCTAGAAGGGGCCATAGGAGTTGATATTATGATTGATAACCTAGGGCTATTGGCAAATTTAAGAATCCCACTTGCACGACACTTGTCATACTCTCATTTATGCCATTTGCACCTATCCTCTAAAAGGGGCATAGAATTTGATATTATGATTGATAACCTAAGCTAATGGGAAATTAGAAAGTCCACTTGCAGGACGCTTGTCACACTCTCATTCATGCCATGTGCACCCCATGTGCAAGGTAGTTGATTTAGAGAGAGAGCCTTACCTTGTTGGTGGGCGCTCGACGCTTAGCCCTGGGCGGATGCCTAGGGACTGTGCTTGCCCAAGGGTGAAATTCTCTCCTAATTGTTTTTTTTCTTTTTTTTTTTTGGGGAGGGGGGGGAGAGGTTTTACGTATCTTATAAACCCCCTTTTTTTACATTTTAGAGTGAAAACAAAAAAAAGAAAAAAACACAAAAATGCTCCCCTTACATTTTTTATTTCTCGGCTGCCTAGAAATTTGGACCGCCACTGCCTAGGTGCTGGGCAGCCAGGACCTCCTTGGCCACTTGGGTGCCACATGGCATATCTTGGAACATTTTGGATCAAAGCTCCTCTCACCCCATGGATCTCCAAGATCAAGGGTCCAAATTAGTCCTCCAAGGAACCTTCTATATACTCTCCCACAAAACCTATAATTAGGGTGTTGTCCTGCCATTTTCTTACTCAACTCAATTGCAAAGTTACTACACCAAATTAGAGAGAGACCCAAAGAGTTGCACATCCCACCTAGGGAGAGAGAGAGTAGCTCACAGCTCTAACCATGCCCTATGGCCTTGAGCATGTAGCCCTGCCACATCTTTCTCCTTGGCCTTTTGCCCATACAACCTATGGTTCAACCATGGCTCAATTCTTGATTAATGGAGCTCAAATTCATCTTCTATTTTGTTGATTATGACTGATCTTCATCAATTTGTAACAAGACAAACCATCTCTCTCTAAGCCATAAGTTCAATTTTATGAGGCATTACCATACCCAATTGTATGGTTATGCGTAGTGCCTAATATAAGCTCAATTTGTCCTAGTTTTTCCCACGCGCGGCCTACTTCTTCAAAGATTGTTTTATGATTGTTTTGTGATCATAAAATCAGACCCAATGAGTGTGACTAATTGTAGAATGGTTTCCCTTTTAATTGCTTCCCAAGTTGGAGAATTATAATGATAATTATAAAGACCCGATCATTTGTTCTATCGTTGTGGAGATGCAGTGTGGGGCGTGGTTAAGTTTCGAGGAGGTGATCCCAAACATTTCTTGTGAGAATTAGCTTTCCCAGGATTCATGTCGGTATTGCACATATTTGTTTACTCCTTGTAAAATGGAAGGTTGTATTTGAGTCATAATTTGTAATTCCAAAATGTTTGATGCAATTATCAATGAAAAGTGTTGCTAAATTTTCAAATTATTGACTGTATTGTATTTGTACACGCTTCACTTGGTCAAATGAATGGAAATGTGTATGAGCTACATTGAGGTGTTTTTTATCCTCTTTTGAGTTGTAAATCAGGTTAGATGGCTTATATATCATCAGTCCCTTACTGATGTATTTTTTATTCAAATGTATATATAAGGAGGTGTAAAGAGTCGTTTGTATTGAAATTGGAAAGAGTGTTTAAGGAGGGAATGGTGCTAAAAACCATGACCGTAGAAGAGCATCTATCTTTCCTTCATTCATACACAAAGTCCTTTTTTTTGTTCAGATTGTTCGGCCATCCAAATCAGGTCTATGAAGTTACTCGTGCTTCTTGAATTTCCCAGCTACTACTCATCTTAGTGTAGATTGACCAGATGATGGAGAATGCATTGGGAATTTGAATCAGTGTTTGGATGGTTTACATGGCATTCGACTGACATCTTGACCTAATAGACAAACCTGAGGGGTATGGGTCTTAGGGTTGTTAAGTATGGAGCAGTTGGTTCACATGTAGTGACAGGAAGGAGAATAGAAGGGTTACCCAGTAACTTAATTGGGAGAGTTGCAGGCACTGGCAGATGGGACAAGGAATTCCTTGTGAATATCGCATAACTCAAGGATCTTTTTATGTTTATCTGGTATTAGGAATTTGGTAGTGGTGAGGGATTGGTTCCCCATGGCAAGGCATTGGTCCCCATGTTGGGTTGTTTTATCACATCGGAGTTTCTTCCTTCGTCCATGTGAAGATGGTTTTTGGCTGCAAAGGATGAGCTTTGGACGATTCCATTGTTACATCTAGTGTTATGTATATAACTTGGAGGACAAGAAGTTGAATAAGATGTATAGGTAACCTGTACCATATGAATATGTAAATACAATGTTCAAAAAAATGGAGGCAGGCTCCCAGGTACAGGGACGAGTGGGGACTATTCACATAAGAATTTAATATATAAGTTATAATATAACACTTATAATAATTATTATTTATTAATTAATATCCATAAGATTTGGTTTTGGATGTCCAATATTCACAAAATATCAATTTCATCCAAAGTTTGACTATTCACAAAATATAAGTCCAAATTGGTAAATGTTCCATCTACAAATATTTAAAATTATCAAAAAGGTAAAACAAAACTAATCGGATATCAAAACATCACACATTCTACAAAATAAGAACCAATTATTCATAAAATAATTTTATATAGGATCAATTTCATCGTCCATACGAGTTAATAATCAATTAATCACAAAAAAATCCATCTTTCAACTACAAACATGGAAATATATCATAAAAGGAAAAAAAAGTTAAAAAAAGAAAGAAAATCAAATGATTCAAAACATAACATGTTATAACAAAAAAAAGAACTTATTCAAATATCATGATGCAATAATGCTTTAAAAATATCAAAATGAAAACGATGTCTGCCCAAACCTCGTCTATTCAATCGCCAAAAGTCCTCACTATTGACCACTATAAGCTCTGAAAACCACCACGAAGTGTTGCCTTTGATTTCAGAAGAAATCAAAAAAATCAAAAACTTATCGATCTTTCGATAAATCACAAAATAGAGGTTTTTGGGGAGTTTTTTTTCTCTCCAGATGGCACAGATTTGGTTTTGGGGGTTTAGAATGCCCCCCAAAACCCTTTTCTCCCCTTTTTAGGGGAAAAAATTACTACTTTGCCCATAGCCGAGGGCATTTTTCACCCTCGGCATTCTGCATCGAGGCGGCGCCTAGGCAGCCACCTTGACTGTAGCGCGTAGGAGGGTGCTTAGATGCAATCCGCCTAGGTGTCCCACCTAGGTTTTGCCTAGGCATAGGTAGCTGCCTAGGCAGCTGGGCGGCCGAATTTTTTAACACTGGTAAATACTTTGTTCCTAATGCCTGTGCATAATGAATTGAGATATATGAGTAGACAGAGGTTGAATGTTAAAGGATTTATGGCCGGGAGAGGGAGGGATGGATGATACCTTATCGTTGGCCCAGGTGGTAACATAGCAGAAATCAAACAAAAACAGTTCATTGTCAGACTCCTTGTTATAGGTGATTGAGGAGCTGCAGACATAATGTTACAAGGTAGAAAATGGTTTGCCTTTGTGCATGTATTTTTTGGTGGGCGAGGGTTGGATCTGAAAGATGTTCGATCAGCCTTTATAATCGCAGGTGCTAGCAAAAAAGATTATTTGTAAGGTTCACAGTGCTCCATATATTTCTTCCTAAAAAATGGCCCTCCAAATAAACTGTTTTAAGGACTATACTCTCACTTTTTCAAATGTAACGAGCTTTCTGCCAGTGGAATGTGATGACACATTTGAATATATGGTGATCGACATTTTTCTTTTTGGCTCATTTTATTTATTATGATAGGGATCAATGCATTTACGAACGGTAAAGACAAAAGTCTAAATTACTCATTGGGCTTAGGCAGCTCACATTAGTCTTTTTGGGAATTACTAAAGATGCATGTTCTTCTATTGCATGTAGATTGCTAGTACTAGTTCAACAATCATGGATCTACTCATTTTGAGAAACTGCTTGTCTTCCTTGTCTGTTATACAAATCCAGGTACCATGCAGTCTCATATATTGAAGCATCTGCACAGATTTACCAAGATGATAAGGTTCCTTAAATTTCTATTTATTCATTCCATATTATAGTCTAGTCCTTTTTCTCTTTTTGAGCATTTTGTTTCATGGTCCAACTTACTTGACCTCTTATGCCTTGTTGACCTTACTTATGGTTTGCTGTTTCAGAGGAAATATCCACAGTTTTGAATTGTTTTTTCAGTTATTTATTTTTAGAATTTGGAACATCAGAGCTTGGCCATAAACTTCCATGAAGTTTGTGTTTACTAGCCTCTCTAGCAAATAGAAGAACTTGTTATGAGATGCAAGATTGCCGAGGGGCATTTCTCGTATGGTATTGTCCTCTCTATGAAACTGGTATTGTTGCTTAGCAAACCATAAGTACTATGTAATTCCGAACCTTTCTTGAATATGGAGATGTTTTATTGTCTGCTCAACCTTCCTACACGTGAAGCATTTGATCTGAAGCATGTAATTTAGAGTTCCTTCATTATTAGCAACTCATGAATGATAGCCAACTTAAACAGGGTTAGAAAGCTGGGGAATATGCTTGCCTTATGGGATGTCCTTGGAATTTCCTACACCTTCCCCTTGGAGAATACTTCTGGAAGACTTGACAGAGAACTCATACTGTCAAATTTTTGAAATTGTTTTGTCATAGCTTTTGGCAATATAAACACTAATACCAGCTCTCTCCCTTTGCCATGACGACCTTGACATTGTTCTTGATCTCTACTGTCCCTGATCCATTTGGAAGTAGTAACCAATCCCAATAACTGCCTGTAGAATGACCTCTTGTTTCTTTCTTTCCAGATATCTTGGAAGGTGGCCACCAACTATAGATTCCATAAGATCCTTCCCATTCAATGACCACCATCCAAGGACACCATCATCTAGTGGGCCATTGTTACGAAGGAGTTCTGCAGCATCTGACTTGGTTTCAATATTTATACCTTGTAGTTCAGCCTATATTTTTTACCCTAGTTCCATATCTATACATCCATTTACAGTTTACAGTGGATTTTCAGCAGTTGTAACACGGATATTCCATAAATTCTGTTCCATTTCTTATTGGGTTCTGGTAATTTACATTATATTTTTCCATCTTAATTCGTTCTACTGTGAATCAGAATATTTGTATCATGTTTGTTTCATGGTCCAAACAAAAACTGGCTGTGTTTATTACTAATCACTTGATTTTATTTTAGATATTGAATAATGTCCAAATGATCTGACATAAGCATCGATTTATAGATAATACATGTTTCCTCCATCAGATTCTTATTGAGGTGAATCATTTGCAAGATGTTCCCACTCCATATCTTCAAATCAAGGGTCCAAGTAAAGAAGCTGTTGCTGCAGCAGGATTAACGCTAAATCTGGATGGCTCATATACCACAAAGGTTTGCAAAATGTTACTGTTGTCAGTTGCAAATGTTTGTTACTGTTGTCAGTTGCAAATGTAATCTGCTCATTGAACCCATGAACACATGCATTCTATGTTGTGATGGTGAGAGTGCATCAGCATGTGTGCACAATTTTTCAGATTTAAATGCTATTGTTGTCTGCCTTGTCCTTTGCTTGCTTCCAAGTGTGTGTGTTTCAGTATCTCTAGATGCCAGTATTAAAAAACTCAGTTAGTCCCATTTGGAGTCGGCAGGCTTTCGCGTATCGAACCAAAACCATGGGAACCAGCTGAGTCTCAACAGTTTTCATGATTTTAGTTTAAATCTTTTTAGTACTCGGTCGAGTCTCTTACAGACCCAGCCTAGTGGAATTGCTGACTCTTGGGACCCCAGCGAGTCCCTTGCCCAAATCTTTACCTTGAAACACCACCACCTCACTAGTACTTCTGATATGACAATCATGTATGTGACATTCCAGCTAATTGTACATCTCTGGAATTGCTTGTCTGTTTCAAACTTAGGTTTCTTCTTGTTTGTAGTTTCAATTACCCATGAGGACATGTGGTCAATGGTTTTCTGGACTTTGTGTCCTGACTTATCTTCCCTTTTGATATTCATTTTTACCTACTCTCTTTAGTTATATATTATTCTAGTCAGCACATTCCATTGTCACGTCTCTCTTCCTTTCCCATCCTTTCATGCTACACATAACTACCCTTATGCACCTCCTCTCTCATTCTATCTTTTGCTCACTCTCAGTGTTGTACTTGTGTTTGTTTTGATTTAGAGCAATGTCTGTAAGCATTTTTATGGTGCGGTTTATTTATGATGATTGTTTGTATTAACATGTTAGCTATTTTATTTCATGACTTGATATTTAACATATTTTAAGCCTGATAGGTTCTTTAAAATGTTTTATTCTCCTCATGAAATGCTTGTGGCAATAATTGTGTGGGTAAGGGTGGACTATTTTTTTGGCGAAGCATAGCATGTAACTGATTCATTTCAGTGTCTATCTTGGTTTCCTTGTTTTATTGATAATTAACTTTTTTAAGAATGTAATTATACAAGTTGTCCTCAAGTTGAAGATGATAATTTGAATTTCTAACATTGACTTGCAGACTTATTTGGAGATTATATTAGACAGTACGCCAACTTTTGGAAGAGCTCCCACAGGAATTCATGGTCAGCAGGCCGCGAGGTTGCATGAACTTGTGGAGTATATTCAATCTCAAGTATGTCTTATTACTTTTTTGAAGTTGGAAGATTTTTTTAACTGATCAAATAAAATGAGCAAAGCAAATTAGAATGTTTATTTCTTCATACATGCTGTTAACTGAAACACTCATTAACTTCTTTTTTTTGTTTTACTGTGCGGACACACAAGTTATTTAGCTAATTCAACTACAGATGGAATATGTTAATTGATTTGACTTTATCTAATCAGTCAGCTGCATGTGCTGGACTTTTCTGCACATGAAGTCATTCAGAAAATGGCAAGTTGTAAAATGCCTTTTGGGCATTCTATAACAGTATCCTGTCACATATTACCTGTTGCATGTTTGGGAAAAACGGGGCTTGTGCTTGTGAGGAATACCAAACTGGTTTATGAAAGATTGTAATATGCTACAAGTTCCTGGTTGAGTGGAACCAAAATATCAAAGTTGTAAAAGAATTAATACGGAACAGAGGGGGCTGCTATATCCATTTAAACCATAGCATGTATGAGGAAATCCATATATGTCTTTGAACTCTATGAGAGCAAGTCTGACCTTGTCATTTTAGAATAAAGAATCAATCCTCCAAAATGATGAAATGATCTAGAAAGACATGTTTCAGCCCCGATGTAAGCTGAGGCTTCATTACTCTTAATTGCAATATGTGACCACTTTGGTGTAGTTGTTGAACCCTCAGCCGACAGCTTCTATAGTGGCCCTTCTACCTATTTCACACGTTTCCATGCATCTCTCCCATCAGATAACCTAATAGTCATTCAATCCTTCCCTCCCATAGTCAGTAAGACCCCTGGCTTGGGGGATAGAGGCTTTCTTTCCCCGTTACTTGCAATATGTGACCAGATGGGGCAATGTGCAATTTAGTGTGCATTTGCAGGTTACCTTGCGAACATATGCACTTTATAATCCATAAATTTCGAGATTATGAATCTAGTGTTTTTTGATATGGAAATGGTTATTGACCTGGGCTTAAACTCTTGCCATGGAACTGCTGTTTTCTGCATTTCAAGCAGAAATGACTCCAAGTCAAACTATGTTTCAATTTCAAACTATGTCCACCACCTTGGTGCCTGAGACGATCGTATCAAGTCATGAGCTTGCTACCTGTGAGATGACAGTCATATCATGTAACTGGGGGGCACATACTGTAAGATTATGGCCTCTAGGAGACTAAGCAATCTCATGACAAGTGGCAAGAATTTGATCTTACAAAGGCAAGTTCAATACTCATACCAGGGAGGCGTAGAGGAACCTAAATAATGACCTCAGCCAAAATATTTCTTTGGGAACTCAATTTCTTAGATTAGAGCACCTTGATTTCGATTTCTGGTGTCCATCAATCATTCCATTGTAGGCCTGAAAAACCTTTTTATTGCGCAATTTGTCAGAAGGGATAGAGGGGAAAGGGTAAATTGTCCTAAATGCGTTGAACCCCCCACCCAAAATGACTGTGTGGTAGGGGGGTTCAAAATGAAAAAGTGGGGTTTGAGTTTCCATCTGGTTGTCTGGGTGGGTGGGTTCCGAAAAGGATAGTCAATAGATGGATGGACTTTACATGTTCCTATGTATCTTAAAACATAATTGTTAGAAGTAGGAACAAAATAGTTCAAGAAATGGAGTGTCCAATTATTCTACTCAAGCCTGGGTTTGTTGGATATTGTTGCCTGCAATTTTACTCCACTGCACATAAGGTTGAGGTTTTCTGGAGGGGTGTTTTATGTTGTGATAATTGCAATTTAGTTTTTCTTTTAATCTAAATGCATGACCTGAGAAATTAGCTGTATTCTCTGTTTCTGCATTGCTTTCATATATCTATATTGGGCTCTTTTAGGCTACGAGGGGGGCAAGAAGGCTAGAATTCAAAGTAACATGTTCGACCTGTTGTCCAAAGTTATTACACCATGGTTGTGCCCTTATCACTCGGAATATTTTAGATCAACTATCTGCTGTTTGCTTATCCAGATCCTTCGTTGGATTTCTTTGCTGCTGGGTTTTGCTTATTTGAATGTTACCAATCTATCTACTTTTGATTGATGGTCTAATGGCACGAAGTATGTGATCTCAGAGCCTCAATCTTTAATAAGTGCAAGTGATGGTTTTAGAAGATAAAAGAGTGTTGGAATTTCTTTTAGGATGAGTTCCTATTACAGTGGTTTTACCAAATTGGTGCCCGTGATCATGAGAGTTCCTTCGTGTTTGGAACCTGGTCTTCCTATCATGGAATCAAAGCTTTCAGGTTTGATATGGAACCATTTTTATGAGTCAGAAATGTGTGGGTAGGTGTACTGGATGTTTTTATATCCACAATTAAGAAATGGTTATATGCTTAGAAGTGTTATTTTGTCTTGGATGCTTACGGCATTTGTATGGGGACTTTGCTGGTACTTTTGGTTTTGCATATGAACCCAGTCACTTTGTTTCTCTTTTTTCAATCCAAGGTTATTTAGTCACCTTGGTCTGAAAAGGATCAAAACCTATGTACAGCTCAAAATTTGTGGCTTACATGCTGTAGTACGCATTCGTGAATGCTTCCATCTTTATGATATGTTTAACCATGGGCCTTCACCAGTCTCTGCATGAATCAATGGATTGTTACGTTCCCAGTGAAAGTAAATTGAAAGGCTTGCAGTTGTCACATTTCTTGACACAGCTATCACATATGAAAAACGAATTCAGCTAGTGTTTATGACGAAAAGCTAGAGGATAATCTAGTTATCAAATGCATGAGAGAGTATAATCCAATGGACTATGGAAAGACCGGAGTTCATTACAAAGGACGGTAATGAAAGGACGGTGATGGAGAGTGGAGTCCACCACATCATGATATTTCTGCTATGGTGGGTCCATAGTGTCTGTATTAGTGTCCATCATCCCAATGGTGTGTTTTTCTCAATAGTTCATTGATTGTCATGCGCTTACGGGTTGATTCTTCCATGTAACCTGTTGTTACTGTCGAGTGCAGACCTTTGAATATAAGCTGTGATTGTCTTCTACATTTACTTGGTCCCTTGTTTGTGATTGTTTTGGTGGACGTTTAGGGGGGAAGCTCAGGATCGGAATCATCGCCAAGCAGGGAAGCTTTACCAGTGGAATGTATAATCGAAGATCTGCAGTTACGGGTGAAGAGACTGGAGAGATGGCATATGTTCAACACTGTAAGTTTCTCTTGTTTTCTCACCTTTTTAGTTTGGCCAGCTACCTTATCTGAAAATTTTGAAATTTGACTTCAGCTATGATTTATAATTGCTATATCGCGTTGAGTCCTGGGGCCTGGACTTTGAGATTCTGATTTGAGGATCTGACTCACCATATGAGAAACTAGATTAAGAATCACAGCTAATAAATTAGATACGTAAGAAAAGAAAAAAAGAAAAAAGAGAGAAACAGTCCAAACGTCTGCAGTTCAAGGTTTGCTTTGTTCAGTAGCCCCATTGGAAAGATGGTGCAAAACAGAGGGTATGTCAGCTTGCTATGTTGGGGCAAACTTAAGGATTGCAACCCCAGGTTTACCAATGGGACTAAAGCTCACTATTATAAATCCTTGAACTGAGCACCATGGTGTTGCAGGGTTTCACCCTGAAAGCTAAAACCACTAACCCTAGATGCTCAAACCGGACATATTTATTCAACAGTAGATGCTTATGTTATTCCGATCTCATGGTTTGATATGTGGCTTGTCTTTCTAGGTGATGTGGACTTTTTTGATGTCTTCCCTTGTTGGCTACTCACTTTACCAGAGGAGACGCAACTAACTACACAGAATGATTTGTCTAACAAGCACTATACTTAACCACCTCGGCGATTTTTTGGTTTTATTAACACAAAGCAACACATTGCAGCTAAAATTTGCTGCCACCCATTTTGGTTGGGGGTTTGGAAACATGTGCCATTTGTATCACTCGGATGCTTTGTATTATGGTGGAACCTTTAATCCTCAACCCCCTCTTATCTGTGTTTCCTTGAGGAATTCAGAATATGTGGGATGAAAATAAGTCTCAATTGTGTAAAAAGAAGAATCCTTGGATTTCAACCATTACTAAATGAATGAAAATGCCTATACAAAGAATTGCTTACATGCTTTTTCAAATCTGAAAAGTGGGGGAGGTTTTATTGTCTTTTATTTTTCTTAGTTTTGCTTTGTGGACATGTGTCGGCTTAGAGGTACGTGTGCTGGTTTATATTTGACATCATGTATCAACATGTTTCGACACTTCAACACGAGTGGATACTTGACGGCTCCTTAGTATATTAAGAATAAAAGGGGAATTATCAAATCATACATAGGAGTTGAACATTTACCATCTCACCTAGCCCCTTTGATATTGTTCTCAAATGATCCATCTTTTTTTTGAGCAAATTTCAAATGGCCCTTGACACACCATGATGGGTTTTTAAATTCTTTAACTCGCACCTGTTGTGAAATATTAAGTAGTTCAACTTGTATAATTTGCTAAAGGAACAGATTAAAGTAAGGCTAATGTTTTATGGAAAAAAAGGCTAATGTTTTATGGAAAAAAATAAGGGCAAGCTTTCCGTGCTTCCCTACGGCATAAAGCTTATATACTTCCCCTTATCCAACCCTCCATTTTGAATGGAGGGCTAAGATTATTCCAATCACAATGTCACATATGTACACTATTTTATTTTTAATTTGTATTTTATAAATTATTTTGACACCAAATTTTGGACGTCCAATCGTCTATTAAACTTGCATTAGTAAAGAATATAAAAAACATTTTCAATAAAATTAAATGATCAAAATACTCTTGAAAATTTCATAGGGTATTTAGGATTTTTATATTTTATTGAAAAATTATTTTTAATATTTTTTATAAGTGTGTAAAAAAAACAAAAGATGGTACGTACCAAATTTTATATTTTTATAATTTGTATAGAAAAAACCAAAAATAAAATACTTTGAGATGTCGGATCTAAGATTAAATAGTGAGTGGCTCTCTTGATCAAAATTGGACGGTTGGGGGGTAAGGGAAGC